GGTGGTGGTTTGATTTCTTCACTGCTGTTTGACGACTTCCGACGAGTTGGTGATGGCGTACCTAAGAATGACGGTGAGCAAAACCTCAATGCGTACGTCCTTCAGCTACACATCCTCACAAACATTGCGACCATTCATATGTGAACCTGTGCGCTTCCTGATGTTCAGACTTAGGGCGTACAAATGCGCAATTCGAAACTTAAGGTATGACAGTTTCTCTCCAAATATGTAAGTAACAATGTCTGTGGTGAGGTATAGCAGAAGCAGGATCCACACAGATCCCGTGTGACTTTAAAATGAGTCCATTTTCAACTAGACAAGGTGTGCACTTCTAACGAACATCGTAACCAACCCTGTCTCTTTCGCTTCGGTCGTGGCGATTTCAACGTTGTTTCAGCACTTGCTGGTGAAAAAGTAGAGCGCCGCTTCGGCTTCATCTGTAATTCACCAATGTGATGACGGTTAGATGTACTGCTCTTATTGAACTGACTAAAATTTGCATGAAAGGCGACATATAGCAATAGAACGAAAGCGTGGAGCGGCGTGACTGGGTGCCAGTCGGCCTCGGACGCTGCAACGCGGCACCCACAGCCATGCTATCGATCGATTCGCATCATCGCCACTGGTGAATGGTTGAACGCAAAAATACGAACCCAATTTTTTTTGACCTCTTCCTGTCTTGGCTCCGGCTACCACAAAGCCATTTGTGGCCACCTCCTGAAAATAACGTCCATCATCGAATGTTTCAGTGTTGTGTCCGAAAATGAAACTTTTCTTAAAGGACTCGAGTGATTCCGTTAAGCCTTTAACCCCATTCGTCACAGGACCACCTCTTGTTCGGCCAGTTCAAAATTGTTTTTTTGAGAACGTGCTTGCCTGTGCAGATGTGGGTATTTTGCTTTTTATTTTGAAATTGGAGACAGGAGAACGTGGGAAGCACTCCCAAACAATCTGTGACTGTTCGCGTGCATCCGCACCGAATAGAAGTCCACCATCTATTTGATCAAGGGCGCTGCTCCCGTCTGTCCGAATCTTAGGCAACCATTCCTGTCAGTATCATTATCTAATCCTGGTACTTTTTTGTAGACGGAGGGGGAGCGGACCGATTATACTGTTTAAG